TATTGTACCTTTACATCTTTGTATTAATACTGTCACTGTGAGAACTGTCTTCCTCTAAACGCAATACAAATATATATATGTGTATATACTCTTTGGTTCTATTCGGTAAAGTCACATAGGTAAAAAATAAAACAACAAAAATTACGATGTTTCGGCCACAACACAAGCGGCCTTCATCAGGTGAAGGGACCAGACTGTCTCGAGGACAGCGCTCGAGTGAAACACAGCCAAGCTCAGACCGCGACCTTTAAGCTGTGTGAGAGTAATCAAGGTGCCTTGACAAAGGAATTAGCATTAAAATTTGCATTTGATAGGCGGATTTAGCATGATGAAAGGTAGGGAGGGGGTCGACCTGTGCAGGCTGGCGAGGGGGCACGGCAGCGTCCACATGCTGGTGGTGTGAAAAGGGGAGTTTAAGAAGCTGCGAAAGTTTGGGGTACCACTACTTGAAAAATATACTGTACCATTAAAAAATTAGTTTAATGTTTGGTTCGATTTAGAACATCTTTCCAATGGTTGCTTAATTTGAAACCATCTTCTCGGTTGAAATTGTGCCTGTGTTTGTAGATCTGAATTGCCTCGTGAACAAATCTCTGATAAAAAAAATCTCAGATCTACAAACACAGACACAATTTCAACCGAGAAGATGGTTTCAAATTAAGCAACCATTGGAAAGATGTTCTAAATCGAACCAAACATTAAACTAATTTTCAATGGTACAGTATAATTTTCAAGTAGTGGTACCCCAAACTTTCGCAGCTTCTTAAAATCCCCTTTTCACACCACCAGCATGTGGACGCTGCCGTGCCCCCTCGCCAGCCTGCACAGGTCGACCCCCTCCCTACCTTTCATCGTGCTAAGTCCGCCTATTAAATGCAAATTTTTATGCTAATTCCCTTGTCAAGGCACCTTAATTACTCTCACACAGCTTAAAGGTCGCGGTCTGAGCTTGGCTGTGTTTCACTCCAGTGCTGTCCTCGAGACAGTCTGGTCCCTTCACCTGATGAAGGCCGCTTGTGTTGTGGCGAAAACGTCGTAATTTTTGTTGTTTTATTTTTTACCTACGTGACTTTAACGAATAGAACCAAAGAGTATGGATCCTTGCAGTCACGAAAGCTTCATAACTAGAATATGTGTATATAGCCTACATATTATTGTACACGGGCTAAACACATCCGTAGCTATTTCAGTAAAAGTGAGTCGGGAGAAAGGAGGGGGGCACATTGTTAACTACCTCACCTGGTATGCAGGAGGTCGTGGGTTTGATCCCATCCCTGACGCCTGCTGCTGTATATTTGGAGTTTGCGTGTCGCTTTCCCTGTGGTTGTGTGAAATTTTCTCCGGGTCCTCCGGTTTCCCCCTCCATATTTAGAATCAACTTGCATTTAGAGTATTTTGCTGCAATACATTTTCACATGATAAGCCACTTCGTTGGGCTATCATTTGTGATGCCCAGGTCGCTTCTGGAAAGGAGATATATAACTCAGTGGGCCTAACCTGGTAAAATAAAAACAAATGTAATAGTTTAAATTTTGATTTAAAGCTTCCGTGACTTCAGGGATTCATATTCTTGGTTCTTTCGGAAAAGTCACGTAGAAGGGAAACAATAACATAATAATGTTTTATATTTGTATTATTTTATTGTTTCCTTCTATGTGACTTTACCGAAAGAACCAAGAATATGTAATAGTTTAGTTTATCTTGCACACCCCCTGTTGAAATAGGTTGTGATGCCCCTGGCTAGTTGACCAGGCGAGAACCTCTGTGACTGGAGGGACGCCGAGCATTGGGTATCGGGGGCATCGGGGCATGGTTCTGGCCACCCACCACCCGCCTCGTGTGCCGTTATCGGCCTTCATAGGTGCTGCTACTCGCTAGCAGCGCTTGCCCCAACAGTCTGTTGAGGCTGTCTTTGTGGGGTTTGCCCTTCACTGTACTCGGTGGTGCGGCCTAGCGGCGGCGCCTGTTTGCCGCTTGTTGGCGGAGAGGTGCGGCGATTCGAATTCCAGCGGCCGCCCGGTGTTGTCCTAGCCAGAATGAAACATACATGGCACCGGCTGCATCACGGCGAATGTTACAGATCCCGTGATGCCATTCGCCAGAGTAGGTCATTCATGTGTTCCAGGGCGTGGGCTGAATGTGAAAAACTACACTACAAATGACTCAGCTGGACTCTATATTTGTCAGAATCAGAATCTGTGTGTATTCTGGAGGAATCCGATGAGCTATGAAGGTTTTTTTCACAAATGCCCAATCATCATCACCTTCCCCCTGACCCCCTTACTGTGAAACATAGCAGGACCCCCCTAGTGAAGATGCATGGGACTGGGTGAGACTTTCCTGGGTAAAGCAAGTGTATTGTTAGTAAGGTCGAAAAACCCCTTTGGTCAATCGACTCCCATCCTATCGAGCCATCAAACCCCTCCATTTAAAACCCGTGCCTCTGGAAACTTCCATTCGGGGCCGCTCACGGTGGCTAACGGTGGGTCACCGTGGTCGTGGCTCTCTCATCCGACCCTGACGAGAGTGCAGGACCCCACTTCTCCCCACCAACTCTCCGTGTCTCTGCTGCAGACACCAGTGGTACTACGCTTCTGGCCGCTGCTGATCTGGCTGATCGGTGATGCCTCTCCGCTCTCATTCGGAGAAACCAACACTTGTTGCCCGCTGCCGGTGGATGTTTGCATCAAAGAGTGTGGAGAGAGCTGCCAGAGTGTGGCATTACAAAATAATTGCTCAAGTGGGGGGGTTGGGGGGCAATGACATGATAATGAGGGGTTGCATGCGGTTCTGTGTTTAGACGAGTGCGCTATCGTCCCGGATGACTGGAGGCGCGGTCTTGCGGTGCCTATCTGGAAAGGCAACAGTGACCAGTGGCATTGCAACAGCTACCGTACAGCATCAGTTACTCTGCTCTCGGTAACCTAGCAAGTTCCTGGCAGGGGTGTGCACCACTGGCAAAAGGTTTGCGACTGTCTGCTGTGAACTCGGCAGCTGAGAAACGTTGGCTTCACACCCAAACGGCCAACCAGTGACCCGATCCTAAGACCTGGACCCTTTGTTGAGCACCGTTGTGAGGGTCAGCAGGATCTGCCCATGGGCCTACACTCCAGCCGATGAAGGCCTTCTTCTACCTGCTGCGTCAGCAATTCTTCAGGGATAGCGCAGAGTCTGAGAGCGTTTCCCCCACTCCTCAGTCTGCTTCGGGAGGTTCCTGCGGCTTCGTGGAATTTCCGCAGCGGAGTGTCGATCTGGGCGGGTGGCACATGTTCAAGAGCTGAGAGTGCGGTGTATTGTGGCGAGTATAGTTCCTAGCCCCCCCAAAATGAGTGTTGGGGTGAGTTTGTTTCGCCCCAACGCCTCTCAGCACTTGCATGGCCTGGACGCACGGTCAGCTCGTGTTGGTGAAGTGGAGGTTACCAACGTTAACTATAAAAAACGAAAACAAATGTTTATTTCACCAGGTAAGGCCCACTGAGCTATATAGCTATTTTTCACAAGCGACCTGGGCACAAATTATAGCTCAACGAAGTGACTTAACATGTGGAAATATATAGCAGCCAAATACTATAAACGCATGTTGAATCCATATATAGAGGGAAAACTAGATAGAGACAGGAAGAGAGACATGCAAACTCCAAATATACAGCAGGCGTCAGGGTCGAGATCGAGCCTACGACCTCCTGTATACCAGGCGAGGTAGTTAACATCTCACCACCGCGGCACGTTTCTGACAAAGCCTGTGATTTTCCACCGGAGCTGCGCGATGTCCTTACATTATTCTCTTGAGATGAAGACCCTGGATGTGCTGAAGATGGAGCGATCGTGGCATTGGAGGTCTCCTGGGGGGTAAAAACTAAAACCCAGACTCTCCTCGACTCTCTGGAGGGTGTTGCGTAGTCTGCCCGAGTGTCTGGCGAACATATCGAGGTTGTGGACAGGTTAACTTACCTTTGAAAACGCTACCCGGATCAGCGAAGGCTCGGAACCGGTGTCTCAAGGTGACTGGGACTGGCTTATGGGTAATGAAGAATTTTCTTAAACGACGGTGTTATCTTATCTGAGCAGAAGGACAAAGCTCCGTGTTTTAAAAGTTTCCCGTGCCTGCTCTCGTGCCTCTCTGGAGCTGAGATTTGGACGTTCTGGGGATCATTGAGGGCACAACTGAACTCTTTTGATCCCAGGTCTCTTTGTAGAACGTTATGGGCAGCGATTGGATTAATCATCGTTTAACTGTCAGCTATGGCAGGAAACTCAGATGAGGCTCGCTAATTGCGTTATACGGGAACACCGATTACGAAACCTTTGGGCTTGTCGCTCCTCGCTTCCCCTTGGTTGGCCCTGCCCTACAAGTTCTCTGAGCTGGAGAACCTCGTGGATGGGGACAGGGGTAGGCGGGGGCAGGGGGGAAGGCCGAGGAGGCCCTGGCCATAGGCTTGTGGCTGCATCAGGTCACCTGTCACCATAGAGGCTCGGGGATAGGAAGGGGGTTGACTTGGGCGGAGCCCCGAGGGCGTTGGCTCCGGAGAGAGGATGCCGCGATGCACCCTCTCGGCAGAATTATTCGATCCTCGTCCTGACCACGCAATGACATTGTCACACGACGGTCAACCCGAGACACCCCGAGCTGACGTTTGGTTGAATGAAGTGCAGAGCTACGTTTGAACGTGACCGGGCTCACGCCACCGACGTTGAGCCAGTGTGAGCCGGGTTTAATCACAGTCGATATGCTCTGAGACGTAGGCTCATTCCCGGGTTACTCGTGGCAATGGCAGCGGTTATGCTCTCCGACCTCCCAGTGACCCGGCCGGCCCACCTGGTCGCGACCCGGCCAGCCCACGTGGCCGCTCAGACATTCATTTAATTGCAGCGCTCCTGTCGTATTTTGTGTTGTTTTACACAGGTGCCTCTTTACTGGGCACCTGTGCAAAAAGAGCTTCAGAGCTCATCGGATTCCTCCTCCAGGATAAACAGAAATTCCGATCCTGTCCTCTCTGCAGAGCCATCCCTGAGCGAGATGTCGCACAAGATCTACGCCTCTCGTATCTCGGGGACCGCTCCGCATCTCCTTCCAAGTGCCCCGCCGCTGCCCTGGCTCGACGGTGCCAAGACCCTGGCGCAGCACGGCCACGCGCACCACCCGGCCAGTGGCACATCCTGGCCGCTGGGACCACCGTTCGGCAAACCGCCACCACCGCCGCCACCTCCACCACCGCCGCCTCTTCAACCGGCCGCCATCGGAGCCGGAGTGGCGTACAGCAGCAGCCCTTCCTCGCTGACGCCCGGATACTCACCGAGTTACTCACCCGCTCACCACCACCACCCGGCTCACCACCACCATCACCACCCTGCTCACCACCACCACCACCACGCTCGAGCGCACTTCTTCAACTTCGGAGGCGCGACGAGTCCGCCGATTAAAGACGGTGAGTTTCCTTACCCCCGCCACCACCAACTATGCTAACTCCTCACCTCACTGCACCCCCTTTCTGACTCTGCTGTGCTCATCTCGCTGTGAGCTTTGACCCCCTGCTCCCAGTGGCGTCACTTTCTGCAGACCATTGCCATCTTCAAGGTGGGCTTGGTTCAGTTGAGGTTGGCAATTTTGGTGGAAATCGTTTTGGGAATTTCCAGTGAAGCATCGCGCGTTACGTTCTCATGAGGCGTGATCGCCTGAAGTCTTTGTTGAGGGGGTAAAGGAGTGCAATTAATTAAATTGTCCCAGGTAGGCTGACTGACGCACCTCTCCACGCTTGTCTCCACACTTTTTAAATGCCGTTCCACATCCTTTATCACTGTCCATGCTTCTGACCAAAACGACACAGCCGGTTATGTGCGCCGATTAAAAAATTAACTTTCAGGCGCATTGGGACATAACATTTCATTTCCCTCAGATAGACTCACGTCGTGCCTTTATCCAGCAGTGGATAGACCCCGACCGAAGATGTGTGGTGGTGATGATGATGAAGTGATACTTGTCCTTCACTTAGCAAATCTAATTGGTAAATGTTGAAAAAAAAAACGATGAGCGACCCCATTTACCGACACGTACAACAACTATAGCCTGGTTCCTGTAAAACACGCACATTGCTACAGTGAAGGAAAAAAGTATTTGATCCCCTGCTGATTTTTTACTTTTGCCCACTGACAAAGAAATTATCAGTCTACCATTTTAATGGTATGTTTATTTGAACAGTGAGAGACAGAATAACAACAACAAAATCCAGAAAAACGCATGTCAAAAATGTTATAAATTGATTTGCATTTTAATGAGGGAAATAAGTATTTGACCCCCTCTCAATCAGAAAGATTTCTGGCTCCCAGGTATCTTTTATACAGGTAACGAGCTGAGATTAGGAGCACACTCTTAAAGGGAGTGCTCCTAATCTCAGCTTCTTACCTGAATAAAAGACACCTGTCCACAGAAGCGATCAATCAATCAGATTCCAAACTCTCCACCATGGCCAAGACCAAAGAGCTCTCCAAGGATGTCAGGGACAAGATTGTAGACCTACATAAGGCTGGAATGGGCTACAAGACCATTGGCCAAGCAGCTTGGTGAGAAGATTACAACAGTTGGTGCGATTATTCGCAAATGGAAGAAACACAAAAGAACTGTCAATCTCCCTCGGCCTTGGGCTCCATGCAAGATCTCACCTCGTAGAGTTGCAATGATCATGAGAACGGTGAGGAATCAGCCCAGAACTACACGGGAGGATCTTGTCAATGATCTCAAGGCAGCTGGAACCATAGTCACCAAGAAAACAATTGGCAACACACTAGGCCGTGAATGACTGAAATCCTGCAGCGCCCGCAAGGTCCCCCTGCTTAAGAAAGCACATATACATTCCCGTCTGAAGTTTGCCAATGAACATCTGAATGATTCAGAGGACAACTGGGTGAAAGTGTTGTGGTCAGATGAGACCAAAATGGAGCTCTTTGGCATCAACTCAACTCGCCGTGTTTGGAGGAGGAGGAATGCTGCCTATGAACCCAAGAACACCATCCCCACCGTAAAACATGGAGGTGGAAGCATTATGCTTTGGGGGTGTTTTTCTGCTAAGGGGACAGGACAACTTCACCGCATCAAAGGGACGATGGACGGGGCCATGTACCATCAAATCTTGGGTGAGAACCTCCTTCCCTCAGCCAGGGCATTGAAAATGGGTTGTGGATGGGTATTCCAGCATGACAATGACCCAAAACACACGGCCAAGGCAACAAAGGAGTGGCTCAAGAAGAAGCACATTAAGGTCCTGGAGTGGCCTAGCCAGTCTCCAGACCTTAATCCCATAGAAAATCTGTGGAGGGAGCTGAAGGTTCGAGTTGCCAAACGTCAGCCTCGAAATTTTAATGACTTGGAGAAGATCTGCAAAGAGGAGTGGGACAAAATCCCTCCTGAAATGTGTGCAAACCTGGTGGCCATCTACAAGAAACGTCTGACCTCTGTGATTGCCAACAAGGGTTTTGCCACCAAGTACTAAGTCATGTTTTGTAGAGGGGTCAAATACTTATTTTCCTCATTAAAATGCAAGTCAATTTATAACATTTTTGACATGCGTTTTTCTTGATTTTGTTGTTATTCTGTCTCTCACTGTTCAAATAAACCTACCATTAAAATTATAGACTGATCATTTCTTTGTCCGTGGGAAAACGTACAAAATCAGCAGGGGATCAAATACTTTTTCTCTCACTGTATACCACACACATTGTTATACCACGACTGCCACCAATAACCCCAGAAGTGCCGGGCATGCATTAAGTCGTGGATTCGATCCCACCCCTGATGCTTGCATATTCTTCCCATGTGATATCGCGACAGTCCGTACCGCGAACCTATTATCTCTCCCTCCGCTTGCCGCAGGACTCGAGAAGGACTTGGAGGCCATGTCCGTGGTGGCAGACGGTGCTAAGGGAACGGACATCTTAGGCGGCGGTGGTGGCATTGGAATTGGCGGCGTCGTTGGAGGTGGCGGTGGTGGGATTGGTGTTGGCATCGGTGGCACCGTCACCACAACCCACGTGCCCATCCCCACGTACCCGGCGTACATCCCGGCCGGTACCGATTACGGCGCCGGCTTCTACCCGCATGCTCATCATCACCACCACCACGCCTACCACCAGCCCCACCACCACCACCACCACCATGCAGCGGCGGCAGCAGCGGCGGCGGCGGCGGCCGGGATTCTGGGCAGAGGCACGAGTGCTCATGGCTTCACCACCAAATCCAAGAGCAAGGGACGCTCCGGCTCAGGTGGGGGAAGACGCGAGCGGGCCACGGGCCCGCCAGTGTGACAAGGGGCGGCGATGGGGCCAACTGGCCAGGCTTCCCCCCCCGTACATGGTGGTGCTGGTGGTGGTGGACCTTATCTTCCCCTACGGATGAACTATCAGAATCAGAATATTTATACTGAAGGAATCCGATAAGCCATAAAGCTCTTTTTCACAGATGTCCAGTAGGGGTGGGTCAGAACGTTCCAACAACAATACAAAACTTGAAAGTAGTGCAAAGTACAGGAAAGGTAAACAAATCACCCAAACACAAATACATAAACTAAACCACCGCCATCCTACCAAGTCGACTGAGATATTCACTTATTTTTCAGAAGCGACCTGGCCTGAAATCATAACTCAACAAAGTGGCTTATCACACGTGGTATTGAGATGTGTTTTGGATTCAAAGTATTTAAGTTAGATTTCGGACCGATTATTGGATTTCGGTATCATCCGAAAGATCCTGGATTCGACTTTCAGATTTTACCGATTGTTTTATAAAAGCCTCCCCATGTCATGTCAGACGTGGGGCTCGTTTGACCATACTTCATCAACATATAGACACACACATACATACCACGCTTGTCAGTGGAAGTTGTATGCCAACCATGCTAATCGGAGGTGCGGTTGAAGTTGACTTGTTCAAATGACACTCGCCCCTGATGGTAGCCATGCTCGGGCATGGCAAGTCACACTGATGGTAGCCATGCTCGGGCATGGCAAGTCACACTGATGGTAGCCATGCTCGGACATGGCGAGTGACACTGATAATTGTGCAAATTATTCGAAATACATAAATCAATTGCAGCTCAATGCGGCCAGTCGTGAATGATTGGGGATGAAAATCCGGCCTACGATTGGATAAGAGATCTGTGGAAAGGCAGCCCCTTCCAAACAAATGTCTCTGACTGTCACTTACAGGCGCGATTTTAACACCCCCATAGTTGCTATGACGTGGCACGCGCATGGGGAATGACACAGGTTTGTGCTGATACCCAAATTTGTGTTGATAACCGGGTTCGTGTTGACAACTGGGTTCGTGTTGATACCCAGGTTCGTGTTGATACTCAGGTTTGTGGGGTGGCAGAGTTCCGACCGTTGGCACAAACCCGGACGTATTTCCCAGTAAGCAACGATGCCCCTTACCCCAAAACCGTGCAGCATCTTGGCGCAACACCGGCAACTGGGTCTCATCACGAATCAATCCCTGCCACTCGAACAACGCAGACGCCAATTCACGGAACTGTCCAGGTCAAACTCGGACAGGTAGTAACCCGACGTGGCGAGGGTTTTGGAGTGTGTTGGAGTGTTTGGGGGGTAGTGTCAGTTACGTCATGCCGTTTCAAACGACTACGGTGTCGACACATTGTGATATATTTTTGTCGACGCTGTATGTGACGCACATACTTGCTGAGCACCAGTTGGATATGAGTTTGTGTCAAGTGTCTGGAGATTAGGGGGGTCTCTGTAGGTGGGGGGGGGACTCTGTGGCATGGCTCGGTGGGATTCTGTAGGGAGGGCACTGTTGGTGGCAGTGCAGGGGGGTTCTGTGGGGGGACCACTGTGGGGGGGGGGGTGTTCTGTGGGCGGGGCTCTGTGGGGTGGCTCAGTGGCGGGGGGGGGGGGGTCTGTGGAAGGGGAGGGGGGTCTCTCTGTGGTGGAGTTTTACAGGTCTCTAATTGCATTATGAATGTACCCACCCCTTACTGGACATCATAGCTCATCAGATTCCTCCTGCAGGATAAAGGTTCTCATTCTGACTAGCCGAGACAGTGTTTTGATGGATTTTTCTGTGTATATAGAAACGTGCATTGAGATTACACTGTTTTAATATAAATTTGGCTGCTATAAAATTCCACATTACAAGCCACGTTATTGTAGCCAGGTCACTTAAAAAAAAAAGTTAATACTTAAGTGGGCTTTACCTGTTAAGAAAAAAAAGTTTTGTTTTAGTTGTATATATATTTTAAAAATGATTTGTTTACCTTTCCTATACTTTTTACTCCTGCCGTGCTTTTGTATTGTGTTAGTCGCTGTAACGTTCTCACCCCTTGCTCCTACTGGACGTCTGTGAAAAGTGCTTTATGGCTCATCGGATTCCTCACGCAGTACAATAAATATTCCGATTTCTGATTAAAAAAAAAACACCACAGCGACGCTGCCGTGCGCTCCTCCTCGTTCCCTCTCCCCGCCCCCCCCCCTTCTTGCAGCGCTGAGCGAGCCTCATGAGTCCGTTCCGGGGGGTTCGTGTGCCCTGGCAGACGGGCGCGAGTGCGTGAACTGTGGCGCCACCTCGACTCCGCTGTGGCGTCGAGACGGCACGGGCCACTACCTGTGCAACGCGTGTGGCCTCTACCACAAGATGAATGGGCAGAACCGGCCGCTCATCAAGCCCAAGCGGCGCCTGGTGAGGACTTTGCAGCGACAGGCTAAGTGCACGTCGAGGCTGTCACGTGGCCGCGTGCGGGAAGGCTCGCAGCTTAGCAAGGACAGGTCCCCGGTGTTGTGGGTTGACTGACCAAGATGACTTTGGCAGATGCATGACCCGTGACTATTTTAGTCGCCCTGGTGCTTAGCTCGTTGTTTAACACGTAGGATAAACGACACGTTTTATTTAGTAATCCAACCCAAACACCTTTATTAAGAATACTGTATCTCGTTGTTGTTGTGAGTATCAGTTACACACCAACGTGGTCATGAGCAGGAATCAAACCTGGCGACCCGGGTTCGTAACGCAGTGTGCTAACTGCTCCCCACAACAAGACAAATATCGCCCTTGTAGCCTCAACTGATTTTTGGGGCAAGTGCTGTTAGTGAGCTCCTATTAAGGCCGGCACGGCACACGAGGGGGTGCGTGGCCAGCACCACTATATAGACGCACAGACTAAGATCTCCTTATAGCCTACAGAGACTGTTTAGGGCTGTTAGCGACGACTTGTGAATGCCGAGGTGGCACAGTAGGGAGTGGTGTGGTTAGAACCACACGCTCGGCCACCTTTGTCTCCCCTGTGGCGATGCTTAGACACCGCACCAGGTACTCATTTGAGGTACTCATTTGAGTCGACCTAGGGAAGGCCCAGGACCAGTTCAGATTATCGTCACTGGTGTTAACCATATGCGGAAATCGAACTTGAGTGCCAGGTTCGTAGTGCAGCGTGCTACCCGCTACTCCCTTGCTCCCCACTCACACAAGCACATCTATACACACCGCCCACTAACCCCTTTACCACCCACACGGTGCGGCGTGCAGTCGGCGTCGCGGCGTGCCGGCACGGCGTGCGCCAATTGCCAGACGACGACCACCACGCTGTGGCGGAGGAACCCCAATGGGGAGCCGGTGTGCAACGCGTGCGGCCTTTACTACAAGCTACACAATGTGAGCGCGCACGGGCACACATGGACATTTACGCACAGGCATGTATGCACGGGCACGCACCGCAAGTTGATGGGTTTACATGGCACAATAAGCACCCTCCCCAGTCGCATTAAGCAGCATCACCCTCTACTGGGACACTCTTGCGCACTCTGTGTTCACCAACGGTACGTACGATTTTATTGTTTTAAAATTCCGATTACCACCCCCACCGACCATGCTACCGCCCCCCTCTCCTCCCACAGGTGAACCGACCGATGTCGATGAAGAAGGAAGGAATCCAGACTCGCAACCGCAAGATGTCGAGCAAATCCAAGAAGGGGCGCAAGCTGTCAGACGACCCCGACTTCGACCAATCACGCACGGCCGCTCTCCTTGACGCCAAACAGGGGCCGCCGATGTTCAGCGGCGGTGGCGGCGGCGGTGGCGGCGGCGGTGGCTTCTCATCGATGGGCCACCACCACCCACACCACCATCCGCACCACCACCCGCACCACCACCACCCGCACCACCTGAGTCACGTGACCCACTTTGGCGCAGCAGCGATGGGGGCGTCGGGTCACGTGATGGGGGCGGCCGCCGGCGGCGGAGTTCATGCGGGAGGGGGCGGCCTGGCATTTGCCCCGTCGACGCATCACTCCAGCATGATCACCGCCATGGGTTAGGTTATCGTTAGTCCAGTGTGGTCACTGCTACGGGTTAATGCGATCACCACCATAAGCTCGTTTATTGGACAGATCACAATCAGTCCACCATCATCGCCACCGTGGGCTGGATCAGCAGCGAGGAAGCTTATCCTGTGTGGAGGACAGATGCATGCCGCTACTTCATTTCACACTGCAAGTGTCTTAGCCGGATGAATTGTGTGTTAGAGCGGGGGAGGGGGGAGGATTTTGTTTTGTTGGCATTACGTTGATGAGCAATGGGGATTGTCAAATTAACGATGGCATTGTTGGTGAACAATGACTATTGGTGAACAGCGGCACTGTGGTGATGGACCAACTGCCTTCAGGTTCACTTGACCAGCAATCTCTTCATTTGGCCATCCGGACTCATGAACCCCGCGCTTAACAAATTTAAGAAAAGACGCTATGACCTTGTGACAAAAATGCCACATCCCGATGATGGGCGGCGGTACCTCCAAATGAAGGACACCCACTCTTGACTTCCCATAGAGTGCTGCTCGTTCCATCTGCGATGCTGATAATGATGACGACGAAGATGACGATGCTGATGATGATGACCATGATGGCAATGCTGATTATGATGGCGGATATGATTATGACGACGACAACAATACTACCATGAAGATTACGATGGACCCAGTCGAACCCGCAACCCTCCCAGCTCAGCAGCGCACCGCGTCGCCCGCCCACCCTGGCTCATGTATTATGTTGGCGCTTGCCCCTGGAGAATGGGCGTTGAACGGCAGCATTGGAGCGGTGAGGAATGGCCCACAGGGGGCTGTGACTTGTGGTTGCCAAAACGTCAAACCGTGGTGCCCGCGCGATGACACCGGCGCTGCCCGTGCTTCGATCGTTCGACCGGCAGCGGTTCAGATTGTCCACCGTGAGGCGACTCCGCTGGCTTACTCACCAACCTCGACGCGAATGCAGAAACGCTGACGATCAACCCCCACCGCTGTACGCAAGAAGAAGTGTCCATTCAGGTCTATAGGTCTCTGTGTGGCTCTGTGAGTCTTTGTGCGAGTCTATGGGTTTCTGTGCGAGTCTGGGTCTCCGTGCAAGTCTATAGGTGTCAATGCAACTCCATGGTGTCCTGTGCGAGTCTATAGGTCTCTGCGAGTCTAAAGGTCTCTTTGTAATGATGTGAATCTCTGTGCAAATCTATGGGTCTCTGTGTGACTCCATGGATTTCTGTGTGAGTCTACAGGCCTCCGTGCGACTCTATAGGTCTCTGTGGGAGCCTTTATCTCACACAATGGCCCACGTAAGTAGCACCACTGCCCACTTTGATTATTCTCGAGCAGTAGCAGAGGCAATTTCAGTCACAAGCTTTTGGAAGATGTGGGGCCACGGTGCTGTAGCCTAGCCACCCACTGGTGGCTAAGACAGCTGAGCAGGCTGCTGCCACCACGTGTATGTACTGTATGTAATGTACCAAGCACCAGTTGTGTGTGTGTAAATATACACGGCCCTTGTACATATCCTATTGCTTCGTGTATATTGCAGTGTCGTTATGTACACACTGCCCAACCCCCCCGCCAACACGCTCACTGTCGTGTACATATATAATGTGTGTAATGTATATTGTGAATGCAAATGCTTTTACGAGTCGCTCGCTTGCTCGCTCGTTCCAAACGGGAGTGTTTTCATTTCATTCCGCTCGAACGACGTAAAATGTAGGAGCAATCCTGGAAGAGAACTCGGTAACCACCACCCACCATCTCGATCCATTAACTTGGTAACCACCACCCACCATCGTGATCCATTAACTTGGTAACCACCACCCACCATCTCGATCCATTAACTTGGTAACCACCACCCACTATCTCGATCCATTAACTTGGTAACCACCACCCACCATCGTGATCCATTAACTTGATAACCACCACCCACCATCGTGATCCATTAACTTGGTAACCACCACCCACCATCGTGATCCATTAACTTGGTAACCACCACCCACCATCTCGATCCATTAACTTGGTAACCACCACCCACCATCATGATCCATTAACTTGGTAACCACCACCCACCATCTCGATCCATTAACTCGATAACCACCACCCACCATCGTGATCCCTTAACGGAGGGGAGATGTCCAAAATCCTTGCCTGTCATTCGCAATCTTTTTTTTTTGGGGGGGGGGGGGTTGTACAATTGCAGAAGTAAAATGTGTGTTGTGCACCCCACCTCCACCTGACATGGTCAATTCGTGATGTATGGACAATTCGCTGGTGGTTACAGCTGGCGTCCCTCTGTGCGCATCCGATCAGCGAAACGTTGTCGCGTGGGGAGCAAATGCGCCAATCGATTTGCTTTTATCGGCAGAAGCGGGTTGCATTGAAAAGCGAGCACAACATTGGACGACGTTTTGGTCGTTTCGCTGACGACTACATGCAACAGCTGCAGCATCATCATCAGGCGTTAACAAAAGCGTAAAAATAACTTCCTGATCTGAGTCCTTACATTATGCTATTGTTTTGTTTTTCATTATACAGTCTATTCTCCTAGAACGCGGTAGTAGTTGCGTTATTGGAAAAAAAACACGTTACAATGAATAATATAGCATAAAAAACAGTCCGCAATAACACGTGAGATGTATACACAGACTGAACAAAGACTGAGGCGCGTGGGTAGCATCTAGAAGCATCCAGCAGCATCCCACCTTGTGTGATCATACGCGCAACGTAGTTCCGTTCACTCGATCGCGTTATATCCAATTCGCATCACGTTATAAAAATGTGTTCCCGAATACAAAAGACCCAGGGTCCGCCCGCGATCACACTGGAAAGACCAAGTGGTGCACCTGGCCGAGGAGAGACTGGCGATCCGGGAGCCACAGTTGATGGCGCTGGCAGAGGACAAGGCAGGATGGAAGGTCTTGGTGGAGTCGCCGCCCCTGCAACCCTGTTCAGTTCAGAAAAGCGGGCCGATATTGATTGAATTCATTGATCGCGTTGTTTCCAATTTGTGTTGTGAAAACAAGAGGCGGCGTTTCAGGAGAGCGGACTGTATTCAGTCGCGATTGAAAGCTTGTGTGGCGAAACAGACACGGTCCGCTCCACGTGTATTGTAGGCAGGTGATCATTCCCTCGCTCTCCCTCCACTCGCTCGCTCTGCCTCTGCTCAACCAGAGCTGACTTTCTCGACAATGAGCTGTTCTGGGTTATTTTGGTCGAGGGCACCGCCGATGTTTATTTGGGTATGTGTGCATGCGTGTGCGCGTCCGCCGCACCTGTCGGTGCCGGTTCGTGGCTCCACGTTGAGGAGGCTACGAATTCCGCCTCGGGGTTTTTCCAGTCTCGGGCAATAACGCACCGCAGGTGGTCTCGCTGAGAAAATGGAATGCACTGGCCAGTACTAGAGACCCATATACCCACACAGAGACCCATGGACTCACACAGAGACCCATAGACTACCACAGAGACCCATAGACTCATAGAGACCCATAGACTCGTACAGAGACCCATAGACTCACACAGAGACATATGGACCCACGCAGAGACTCATAGACTCACACAGAGACCCACATGCTCACACATAGACCCACAGACTCACACAGAGACCCATAGACTCGCATAGAGACCCATAGACTCACACGGATATCCATATGTCCACGCAGAGTAACTGGAATGCACTGGCCCCCATAGAGAATAGGCATTGGTGCATTTTTATCACCAATACACGTTGCCTCTGTGTTCTAATGATCAATTTGTCCCACACGGAGACCCATAGACATGCATGGAAAGCCCGCCACTGGTGCATCATTATCATCACACGCTGCCTCTGTTTTAATTTTCAGTTAGTGCACCTGCACGCGCGAGCACCCGTGGCTACAAAAATCCAGGGTGGACTTTGTAAGCTGCCTGAACCTGGAGCCACACTCAAGCAGCACTGATGCACGGCTTTAACGTTTTGCTAGGTCCGCTTTTTATGCGTTTGCGTGAACGAGTGGACTAAGTTGAGACCAGTTCTGGACTCAAAAGTGTTGGGGGGATTGGGCAGGAAGGTTTGGCAGGGAGAGCGGAATTGTGTTGGCCATTGTGACTCTTTGTCCGATGTTTTAAAACAACACCAAAAAAATTCCCACAAAATTCACGAAAGCAAATTCACACAGTCCGCATTTTCAAACGCTAAACAGTATTAAAGAGGAAACAGAAATGGGGCTCACGCAGAGTTCAACCCGCTCCCAGTGCCGCTCGCACCACGACAGATACAACTTAAAAACAAATAACTTAACTTATTCCGCTAAATGTCAGTGGCAGAGACAAAGTAATGGAGTGGCATCAAAAGGGGGGGAACTCGCCCGAGAAGATATTTTTCCCACCGCGGAGACGGGAGGAGGTAAAATCGACTCGTGCCACGTGCCGGGTGGGTCGCTGCATCGTGCCACAGCTTGGGGGAGCTTTCATCCAGCAGTGGATAGATCATGGCTCACGATGATGATGAAGCCCTGTTGACGTTTTATATCAGCTTGTTGATATTGATCGTTACCCTCGTTAATGCGCGCATCGAGTCGCGGGTGGGAGGAACGTTGACGTTTGGCCATTCGCAATTTGCCGTCATTGTAACCGGTTCCCGCGACCTCTGCAGCCACTAGAGGCCGCTGCAGTCACCACGACTCACCGATTGGTTCGTCGATTAAAATATCGCGTGCGCCACAATTTATAAATCACTACGCATGCAAATGGAATGCTAATTTATATGAAAGTTAAGTATTCGGGCTAAATGTAGAAAATTAAAGCGCACAAATCGAGACGGCAACATGGAGAATCAATAACAGAACGAGACGAGAGAAAAAAAACATCACATCAGCCATGGTTAATCGACTGCTGGATGAGTACCTCCACCAAGCTGAAGCCACCTATCACGATCCTGTACACACGAGCTGAATAAATCGCTCCATATCCCTCGGTGGACACGGCCTCTTGGTAGACAAACCATCGATCTGTATCGCTGGGGAGGTGAACGCTGATGCGTGTCCAGAGAGGAGAGCGACGTAACTGAATGAAGTTTTTCATGAATAAAGCACTGTAAACAATTAAAGATTCTAACAAAATAAGGAACGAAAAACAGCACGTGTTTGTTCTCATATTTAAATACGTAAAAATAGCGTTCCGTTCCAAGATAATCACAACATTCCTTTATCAGTGTTCTGTCCCAAGGTTATAATAACATTCCGTTCCACGACAATGACATTCCGTTGCGACATGTTCACGTTCCGTTCCAAGACGCACAATGGGACCGACGTCACAGGGCGCGTGACGTGCGCCGACGCGAGATGACGTCACACTTAATGACATCACGATCGCCTCGATGTTGTGAGGCGACCTTTCGGGCCTTATGTTGCTGCGTCAGGTTTTTGGGTCAACGCTTTGAATCAATTTTTTCCGCATTTCTCAAAAGTTCACATTGGATCATCATTACGAGAGTTTTCGTGACCTCTGTCCCAACCCCCCCCATGCCTTCACGCTTCGAACCTTGGTTGGAAATCGTTAACAACAACAACAAGCAGTTTGTTCTGAGCTGTGCTTTACTAAAATAACGAATTAACGTTGCAGAGATATACAATTGTATTATTATATGTTGCAAATGAAGGGATGTTTGATGATTATGTTAATAATAAAGTTTTTGAAATAAAATTTAAATCAGTTTTGATTGTCTGTAGACCCTATCAGAGACCGGTCAGTCTGTCCTTGTCTTTAGGCCTTACGTATACGACGAAATAACACAGCGTGCGCTCCACAGACAGCCCCCCCACGAGCCTACTTGCTGTACTGGGGCGCCGCGGTGGCGAGGAGGTACTGGGTTCGATCTCGGACCTTCACGATGTCTGCTGTTATATCTGGAGTTCGCGTGTTTCCTCTCTCTCTCTCTGGTGGTCTCGTGCATTTTTCTCCACGTTTAAATGAATTAGCCGTTGCTAAAAAAAAAAAAACCACGTGTGATGATGATGATGATGAAGATATCAGCCGCTGCGACGAGCTATCAAGTGCGGCCAGTTCGACTCTGAAAACGATCAAATAGCTCGGTGAGCTTTACCTATAACAACAAGTGTTTTGTTGTTTAAACTTAATTCTACAAGCTTCCACCTAATTGCCCTGTAGGCAGATGTTTCAAAAACTGGATCCGTCTCTGCTTGTTCCATCAACCCCACCCTTGCTAATGACTGACTTGCAGGGATGCGTAATGGCCACCACGCCCATCTAATCTGCTGCTCCTTCAGGCTCACAATTACACGATAACATTTCCACTGCTGTGTGGGATTTGAGAATCTTTCCAACTTGTTTTTTTTCTTTGAACTGCCGCGCCAGAAGATGGAATCAAAAATGTAATAAGAAGTACGCAGCTATTTGTGCTTTATGCAAAAAAAAAACCCATCAGTAGTTACTGAATAATTGCACTGTGGTCATCTTGCCTTCGGCAGACCATCAAGATGAATGTGACCGACTGATAGCAGCAGTGATACAGAGATATGTAGACCTATTTCATCCTCAACGGGAATCATCAGTAGCACAGTAAAGTCACCAATGCTCTCCACTGCTGCCAAGTCTGCCTCTGGGAACCGAAAATGTGGAGTCCTCACATCCGCACTAAGAGGCCCACATTAGCTTGCCGATTGCTAACAATAATCACATTTATATATTGCAAGAAACCCCCATCGTAACGAAATCATAGTGCAGGCCGGGAAAAAAAGAGACCACGAGTTTTAATGAATGCGTAACAAACGCTCAGCCTTTGTGCATATGCACAAAACCATCAAAAGTTTCTCAAGAGCTGCATTTCGGTCCATCAAAGTCAA